ACATGTTTTATTAAGTGAAAGCTAAACAATAGAAATACATAAGATTATATAAGTATTTTATATTTTAACTTTTTAATAACCAATTTGATAGAACTCCACCCGAGTTGATCAATTTTCTAATATTTTCGACCAGCTTTGGTTCAACAACTTTTCAACATGACCAAGTTAGTTAGGTCAGTTTTGGTTTGGGCATTTGTAAACCAACCAAAATTGAACCGATCCAACCATATATATATATATATATATATTTATATTTTAAATATGAAAAAGTGGGAAAATTCGCATATTTCTTAGTCTAAAACATTTTATATCATAAATTTAATTCTTTTTAATTTATTTTTAATAATATCACTGTAATTTATTAAATTTAAATTCAAAATTTAAGCTTAAATCTTTTGAACAAATAAACCAAACTAAAAATAGATCCAACTTGATACAACCTGAGTTGACAGGGTTACACTAATGGTCAGCCAATTTTGGGTGACAAATTCCCGATCTGACTAAGTCGATTTGGTAGGCAAAACAACCTACAACCTAATTGAACCAATCCTTGAACACTTCTAATTTTAGCTAAATTAATAGTTTAATCTCCAATAATTATTGAAAATTTATAGCAAAAATACGCAATTATTGAAAGTAAATTTATAATCAAAATACAATAGTTACAAAAATATACTATAATCTCAAATAATAGTTTAATCTCTAATAAAGATCAATCAATAAATTATAAAAAATACATAATTACTAAAAATAAAATTATAACAAAAATACAATAAATAAATTTCAAAGTTGCATAATAGTTGTTTAATCTCCAATAGTTATTGACAACTTTCTGTTAGATAACAAAACATAGATTTATAAATAATTATTGAAAATATATTTATCAAGAAATACAATAAATAATTAATGAAAATGCAATAAATATTAATTTTAGTACATATAAATATATAATGAATATACACTATTATCATAAAATTATTGCTAAAAAATATTATTTTTTTGAAAGTTATTTTCTATAATTATGAATTGATATAAGAGAAATTAGTTATTTACATATTATTTAGTTATCTAAATAATATTGTTATTTAATTTTTTAAAATATTAATTATTTGTTGAATTTAATAGTTTGTAAAATTATAATTACATGATTTGTTATTAATTTTGTAAAATATTAACTTATTATTAATATGAATATTATGAAGTCTACTATAATTAATTTTCTACTTTTAAGAGATATTTTATATTCATTACATGATTTTGTTATTTTAACTATTTAAAATTTAGTCATGTTAAATATTTCATAATTTAAATATTTAAATGATTTGTAAAATATTTAAAAAAATTCATTATATGAATTTTATTTATTTTAAAATTATTATGTAATATTAAATATTTTGTTATATAAATATTTAGCTATTTTTAATGTTTTGTTATTTAAGATATTTAATTATTGAAATATTTAAATAATATTTTATTTTTTAATGTTAATTTTTTTTCTTTTGAATAAAATTTAAATTGAATAATTTTTAAAATTATAATTTATATTGTTACTACATAATTTCATGATGAATTTTGTAAGAATATATAATTATTAATAATATGAATATTATTAAGTCTATTATAATTAATTTTTGTATTTAGAATAAACATTTTAAAGTTAGTATATAATTTCATTATAATATTTAAATAATTCTGATTTTTTTTAATTGACACATACTTTAGATAGATGTAGATAAAAAGTGGGGGAGAGGATAAGTAGGAATTAGAGATAGTTTAAGAGATGATCTCTCTACTAAATTAGAGATAATTATAGAGATAAATAAGAGTTAGAGATAATTTAGGAGATAAATAGGAATTAAGGACAATTTAGGAGAAAGTGGTGCCACTTGGCTAACCATTAGAAAAGCAAATCCCTCATTCTTTATGGTTGTTAGAAATAGTTAAGCTTATGTTATTTATTTATTGGTTTAATTGGTAATTATATGGAATGGAAATTGTCTAAAACTCACCATGACTTTTCAGCATTTCTCTTAAACTCACCACAACTTTTCAAAACGTCTAAAACTCACCATGCCAGTAAGTTTTTATTTTCCAAAACTCACCTTCCGTTATTGCACCGTTAATGTTTCTTAACAGATGTGTCCACGTCAGCATAGATAACAATTTTTATGACCAAATCACCATTGAATAGCGAGTTAGAGGAAAAGGGACTTTTTCATTTTTTCATTTTTCATTTTTTTTATTTTTAGTGTTTTCTTATAATTTCTAATGTTTTGTTATAAGTTCTGTTTTTTTTTTTACATTTTTCTATTTTCTACCATCTATAAAATTTCATGTATTTTTTGTTATTTATTTGCAATTTTTGTGTTTTTCTATAATTTTTGATGTTTTTTCTACAATTTTTATTTTCTGATTTTGTTTTTCAATTTCTATAGTTTCTATAATTTGAAAATATTTTTTTTTATTTTGTGTGCAATTTATATAGTTTTTTTAATTTCTGTGATTTTATATGTATTTTATATTTGAAAATATTTTTTGATCTTTTTCCTTTTTTTCATGTCTAAATATTAAAATATATGTATATATTTTATATTTTTCTATGAAGGTTACAATGGTAATATATTAACAACCGTTAGTCTATTTAACGTCAAGTTAGTGACATGGTGAGTTTTAGGCATTTTGAAAAGTTGTGATGAGTTTAAGAGAAATGCTGAAAACTCATGGTGAGTTTTTGACAATTTCCCTTATATGGAATTAAAAAAAAATTCAAAAAACTAGAAATTAGGAAGGGGGTTTGGAGCAAGGAGAGGCATGGTGACATGGAGGGTGTTGCTACATATAACCTAAAATTTTACAGAGATTGTACTTGGATTTTTGGTCATTGAGTTAGGCCTAAGCCAATACCTTGGGTAATCTAGGCTTGGCCCAAGCTTAGAACCACCTGTCCAATTCGAACTAAACTTGATTAATTCCACACATACACATGCACACACACACACACACACACTAGATATACACATATTTGTACATTCGTACACATGTACGCTTGAGTTTGACTATCCAAAACCCTCTTAAGCCAAACCCAACACAATTACGGATAGGCCTGGGTGGATCTGATCTAGCATGGATGTGTTATTCAAGTTTAAAGGTCTTGTTTACGAAGTGCCAATCAGCTAGTTGGTAAAGTCTCATGCTGGTCATAGTGGAGACTCGGGATGAAATCCTGCCTGCACCTGTGTTGGGGGATGGGCTACCCCCTGTTGTGTAGCCCTTCAAAAGAAATAAAAAAGCTCAATTCCTTGCAAATAGCATTGCAGAGGTTCACTCACTAATTCAATGGTTAATATAAAACATTCTAAGGTGTTGCAAGTCAATGGAACTAGTCCAGATCTACTCCTCACAATGCGTGCCTCACACCGATTTCACAGAATGTTATGGCTACTGTACATCGGAAACATCTCCCATATTTGTATAATTATTGATGGGGAAATGTTTCCAATTCAGGGTGGGATATTGCTGTGAGGTTGGTGTGAAATGCGCTATATGAAAAACATATCCCAATTTAAAGGAACTGCAAGTTCTCCGAGGTATGCAGGGCTGTCAATGAATTGAATATGGCTTTGGCTTCAACCCAAATAAAGTGGTTTGGGACACCATCGAGCCAATCGGATTGGATTTGGACTTAAATCTTAATTCATCTTAATTATTGGATTGGATTGGACATTTCACCACCTATGAATTCTGATGTCGGGCTGAACCGTCATTCTCCCTAAATAAAAAAGGAAAATGACAATTATAAAAGAAAGGAATTTTTGGACTGTCATCCCCCCTCAGAAATCTGATTTGCAGTTCCCTCCTATTCTATTAGTAGTTCCCCCCTATAAATTACATCCTGCTTGTAAATTTAACATCAATCCACGGCAGGATTCAGTCCACACCTAGAAATCCTAATTCCACCCTAGGGGTGGACTGAACCATAAAAACCTCTAAATGAAATTTATCCAAACAATCTATGGAAAAGTATGGACAGGTTCATTGTATATTTTTGAATTCCACTGTAAACCTATAAAAATTCAAAATGTCAAATACCCCACTTTATACATCAATGCTTGGTATTAATTTGAAGCTCTTCTACCCAATTGTACATTGGACCTAAGAATTCTAATGCTGTTCAGCTCTTCTTCCCAACAACCTAATATTTTAACTGAAATAATAATCATGAGAAGACTATCAAATCCAGGTACTAAGACAACAACCTATTTCAATTTAGGAGAAATATTGACATACCTAATGCAAAATTCTAAATTCTACTACAATTCTATAAACATTCAAAATGCTGAAAACTCGGGTACTCATATCCACCCGTGAATTGGTATGAATTCCAAACCGATCCTTACCCCAAGGGCTATGAATTCTGACCCTGGGCTGAACGGTCATTCTCCCTTTCGACTTTCGATATAAATTGAATTCATCACAGGTCCAACAGATTTGATTGGATTATTTATATTCTTTTAGGATTCGATGGGATTGGAAACATTTAAGTGTAATCTAAATGGATTTGGAATGGATTGATGGGAGGGATAACCGGTTCCATTGACAGCTCCCTTACTGTTGAAATCGATTTTATTTTTTTCCAAAGCAGGGAGGAATTGAAGATTTGAAACAATCTTCCAAAAACAAAAGGTGCAACATTGGCACCTACAAACTACTTTGGTAAGAAACAAAGAGCATGGTGATCCGTTGAAATCGAATTTTAACGGATCAATTTTGAACATTTTCGATTCGATCCGATCCGCAAATCGTTACGAAGTACTTTGAACGTTGCGGTGGTCTGCCATTGCCAGTTTGCTCCGAACCAATCAAGGCACTGGTTGGACAAATCTGATTGAATCGAATCGTGAGTTCAAAGTTCAAACTCAACAAAACCAACCCCAAACTTCTGTTGCTTGAAAAAACTCTACACGATTGGAAGACTCTGGAGGACTTGAACAGGCACAGCCATGGCTCTTCGAACTCTTATCAGTAGAAGAACCGTTGCATTAGGCTTAGGGTTTCAGAATGCGGAGTCCAGAATTCTAGGATTAGGTTTTCGCCGTGCTCCGGAGTTGCAGACCTTCTTTCTTCTTGATCTTCCTTACGACTACGGTGCTCTGGAACCCGCCATAAGTGCAGAAATTATGAAGCTCCATCACCAGAAACAACATCAAACTTACATAATCAACTATAATAAGGCTCTTGAGCAGCACGAGGGAGAGATGGGTGCCATCAAGTTCAACGGTGGAGGTATCTTTAGCTTGCCCTTAGTCATATCCATTGAACCTTATAGAATGTTTTGATGTCACCTGGAGCAAAATATAAGAAATAGATTGTAAACAACTAATTTGTAACGGCTATTTGAGGGAGCATTCACCTATAGCAAATTCATTTTTGGGGAATACAGCCGTTTTGAAAGAGAAGAGGAAAAAAACCTTCAACCAGGCAAGCTCATTGAATGCAATATTTCACTTCTTACAGGCAGAACATATTACTTTTCGTTTTTGGAAAAGTACGAGCAGAAGAAATAGTTCCTATAATTGTCGCACTATTTGCACTATTTTTTATTTTAAATGTCTGGTTGTTTGCTAACTCTTTTTTTTTTTAACACACACAAAGCTGCTTCATTAATAAGGAAAACAGGTTCTAAATACACATATTTCCCTGGGTGGTGTCAACATGTATGTCACCAGCCCCTTTACATACTTTATATGCGGTACTTCATTACATTGCCTATTTACATATAAACAATCAAAATGATGGAGCTGTATCAGCAATTCCATACATTGATCAAAAATAAGTTTCTGGGACCACCCTTCCACAACAGTTCTTGAGGTCACACATTTACCACTTGTTTGGCATCTGTCAATACAAGAACCTCCTTCCATCCATGGTCTAACGATAGCTGGAGAGCTCTTAAGATTGCTTGCCACTCTTCTTCCATGCTATTTGCTGACCAACATTGTAACCCAGCTGCATAGAGAACCCGATTATTGCAATCCACACAAACTAAGCCTGTAGCAGCTCTGCCTGTTTGAGGGTCGAAAGACCCATCTACCATCTGATGATGCGCAATCCGGCCGGTCTTAGCTGTCAACGACCTTGCCTCTGAATTGAGTAGCAGGGAACCTGAAACGGAGGAGATGAGGAAGCTCCGGGGAGAACCCAGTGTAAAGGCTCCGAACCTTAAGTTAGAATCCTTCAAAGGCAAGATAAAACCAGGTAGCGCAAGTTTGCATACCTCCTCTTT